GCAAGAACTCGGGATATTATAAGGGCATACTACAACGAACCAAGCGGCGGGCACCTTGGCATCACAAAAACAGTGGAGAAGATCAAGAAAAATTTCAATTGTGTAGGCATCAAGCATTCTGTAGCTGCATGGATTCGCAACTAAGATCAGTGCAGCAAATCGAAAGGCCCGAAAAGTAAGCCGCGAGGGCGCTTGTAGTAGTATAACATGGGTGCACCTTTCGAAAGGATCGGAATGGATATTTCTGGACCAATTCCAGCCAGCAATTCAGGAAATAAATATGTACAAATAGTCATTGATTACTTAAGTAAACGGTCAGAAGTATACCCCACAGCTAATCAAGAAGCAAAGACAATAGCCAAAGGATTCGTCAATAATTTGGTTACGCGGTTTGGAACCCCATCGAGCTGCATTCAGACCAAGGTAGAAACTTTGACTCTTCGATCTTTCAAGAAGTTTGCCAAATATTTGGCATTAATAAAACTAGAACGACTCCGTTGCATCCTCAGTCTGAGCAAATGGTCGAAAGGTTTAATCGAATCTGTGGAAAGTGATCGACGACAATCAGCAGAACTGGGATGAACACATACCAATCTTTTTAATGGCATACAGGCCAGCAGTGCACAACACCACTGCTCTACCCTCGGCGCAGATTTTGTTCGGATCTAATCCGAGGCTACCCGCAGACTTGAAATTCGGGACACCTCCTAATGTCCAAAGGACCGACACCGAGTATTTCGCTCGATTGAGGACGATATTGGATAATATGCACCGACGGGTTCGACTTAAAACGCAAATCGTAGGTGACAGGATGAAAGCAAGATACGATCTGAAAGCTAACGCTGATGGTTTTAAGGAAGTGGATTTAGTGTTATTGCACAATCCTTTGCGTAAAAAACGTATGTCACCAAAACTGCGATGTAACTGGGGAGGTCCGTACATCACAAGGATAAATGATGTGCTCTGTCGAATACGAAACCAACCCGGAGGTAGAACTAAATTCAATGTGGTACACCTAGACCGATTGACCGCCTGTCGAAACAACCATGTTCCGGACGAACAAGATAAAGCGGAGGGTAATGTTACGGATATCCCAAATTCTGTTCATTCCAGCTAAAATTCCTAAAGAGGGAAAAACTAAATACCCATTCGCAGCATGCAGCTCACGGCCAAGGAAAACGAGTTCCAGAAAAGCAAGTTAACGAATTAACAATAAAACTATAAAATTAGGTACTAGTAATATGATGGTAAAAATGTTTGTAAATAGAATATTTGTGAAAGGCAGAGGTAATAGGAAAAGAATATTTGAGTTAAACAGTCGAAAGTACTGCCAAAAATAAATTGTGAATAATCTTACATTTAAAGAAATATAATTGTAAATAAAAGAACTTTGAAGTGTATTTTTCTTGAACAAAATATCCACGATCCAGTGATACGGACTGTATCTTACAAAAGCGCTTTTTATAACAATATAATTCATATAAGTTAAATTCACACTTTATTCTTTTAAAGATTTTTATAATTTAGACACGCAGAAAGCCAAAAAGCTAAGAAATACACTAAGAAATTGCAATATTTCTTGCATAGAATTAAAACGCTACTAAAACACGCACGCAGAGTTGTCTAATTTCTATAAAATCTTTAATGTAAACATAATTAATACAAACGCTGGTAGTCACACCTACATGTCTTTATTGCATTCAGCTAGTTTCTAGTTAGACAGTGTTAAGCGCATCGAACAACAATTCAGGTACTAGGAAGGAAGGATCAAAATCAGTTAGCATAAATTTAGCAGCGCAACTCATCGAAAATAAGCATTCTTCAATCATATGGCGCGGTTCCGCCCGAAATATCTGCTACTAAGTGTACATTTATTTGATATGAGATATTAAACTCAGTTTGCTGTTGCTAGCCTTTACCAAATTCGTCGAATTCGCAACAGATAATTTGACGATTTTTTTACTTTTGAAAGCGTTATAAAGTATCTTCGGGTATCTCCGCGTATGTACACAAGAAGGAACTTTACTTCGCTTTTGGAAAACTTTTACCACCGCTTAAGCCATTGATTAGTTGTTGCTGTTGTCTATTCATGTATTATCAAATGCCGACAATTTGACAAACAAACTTTCCCACGTCTTTTCTCTTGTTTAGTACTTTCCAGTTTCAAGGCCCTCATTCTTTTGATATGTATAGTTTTAAAGAAATATTTCAAGCTAAATGAATTTTCCAAGGAGGCAATATATATTCTAATGACCTAACTTCCTCTGGATTTATGGTATGATTCGAATTATAGCGTTCTAATATTTCGAAATTGATTATATTAACATAATACATTTTCTCCAAAAACTCGATTTTGTAGCAATGTGCACGCATCACCCATATATACAACACAGCACTCCCTTCTTATTTTTTCAATAAGTCTTCGCTTGATATGAAAAATATATGTGTTCCATAGCTTCACATTAAGGAAACTCCGTTTTAAAGCATATATTTTAAGTACAAGTTCACATAAACTTTTATGTATTTCAACTCATATAATTTTACTTTTCTTTTCACCGTCACAAGACAAAAAAAAACCAAACTTCCTCGTTGTATCGCTCTCTCTTATCTTCCTTACCGACAAACACGCAACACAAAAACCAAAACGAAATGACATTGTCAAAACATTATCTGTCGCTGCCAATTCCGTTCGTGAGCGAACTTAACAAACTAAGTTATGCCGGATTGCATTTTTAGCGAACATAATTTGTTAAGTCCAAACCACAAATTACAGATATTATATATTTATTATCAAAATTGCCTGCACTTTATTGAAAATTACTCAATCGCATTTTAGGAAATGGCATCCCCCATAACATGTGTGTGTTCGCGTCGGTTCAAAAAACCTTGCAACTCATAAGCTGCAATTTTTAATTTGTGTTTTTCTTCCGTTAAAAGCACTTCATTTTGTTATTTTTATTTACGATTGTATATCGTTTAGTTATTGATTGTAAACAAACAAACGTCAAATTTTTCCTTTATTTTGCCATTATTTTTTCGATATATATTTTGAATGGCGAAAGCGATACATAACTCTTAACCAAATGGTTTTCAAGACACACCGTTCAAATGAAAAGTAAATGCAAAGTACAATGCAAAGTACATTTTCAAATCGAGAAAGTAATAAATGTCATTAAAGCAATTCTTATGAACCCCACAAAGTAACAAATTGACAATGTTTAGCTTTTTTAAATTCTATTCACAAGGAATAGGATAATATCAATAACATTGCGAAATTTAATACGGTCTGTAATTTTGTCCAAGATTAATATCGTTAATTCATTTAAATTCATTTTAAATAGCGAATACTGGTATATCCGATTTAATGAACTTATCTAATGTTAAGGTTATATTAACTGAAGAATTTTTACATTTTATAATTAGATATCCGAAGCCTGAAGCATTTTGCAAAAAAAAATTGGTATATTTCCAGTCCCCTATTTCGAAAAGGCAATACAACTCTCTACTACCAATGCAGTAAAAAAATAATAGTGCAAAAAGGTCTATAAACGGCACTTACCTAATTGTCTTCAGCTATAGCATGACTACCAATGATTTACTTTACATGAATAAAAATAACCTCCGAAAAAGAAAGCCTGAAACCGCGGCATTCCCTTCAATCAGCGTCACAAATTAGAAACAAACTCTAAGCGTGCCATTGCTACGCGATATTAACATGAAAAACTTACGTTACATCGATGAACTACAAAGTGAAGCAAAACCACAACCCCTTCTAGCCAGTTGCGTCGTTTCCATGTCCTTAGCACTGTGCTACTTTGTGATAGCTATAATAAAACGATGCGTGAAAAAAGACAACAGACCAAGTTGAAATCTGCTATAGAGCCTGTTCTAAAGAAGACCGAAGGCAATCATTACTTAATTGATGGAATAGTTAACACTGTACAACCAAGTGCCGGTTGTTGATCAGTGTAACTACATAATAAAAATACTGAATTAAAATCTAGATTAGTGGCGTGAGCAATTTGAAGTGTCATAATTTTTAAGGTAGTATTAAATATCATCCCTTAGAGGAGCTAGTTTTAATATATTGATGTAAGAATTGGTAACGGTGGTAATAAATTCCCCAAACAGACAACAATGCCTTTTAATAATTTTTAATACCATTTAAACCTTAGTTTCGCACTTTTAATTATGAACGACACAATGGAAAAGTTTGATTTTCAAAAATATATTACGAAAAAAATTAAAGAGAATTGGCGAAAAATTTTGACAGCACTACCTTTTATGATACTCGTATATTAATCCTAAATTTTTTTCACCTCTATATCCAGCAATGGAAAATCAAGATCAAAACATTTGCAAGAATCCGACTTGCGCTTACCGTTGCAACAAGGGTCCTTAAAGAACTTATTCCTCTTAACGATTGTGCACAAAATCTTACGATTAAACATATTCTTTGTGAATGCCAAAACTTTCCTACTATTCGAAGATTATTTTTCGGAGCATCTAACCCTATGGACATCTTGAAAATAAATACCTGGAGAACTTAATATGAATGCAATAGTTAAGTTTATTTAAGCTAACTTTTACAGAAAAAATATATATAACAGCCGATAGGCTTTGTTGCTAATGCTCATCCGACCTTTACTCCTAGAATTTATTTCTTCTTAAGTATATAATAATAGTGTAACCTAAATCGTCTTTCTGGGATTTTACGTTATTTATTCAATTTCTTTTGAAATTAAGCTCGAACCGTTGAATTGTAATTTTGAAGAGAGTATAGGTTTTTATTTACAATTCTTAGAAGATTAATTGCTTATATTTACAGCAGCTTAGTTCTCGTTCTGATCTTATCCGTTCAAATATTGCAATTCGACGCTGGTGACTCAACTCTCGCGACTACCTTTCTACTCACTTTTCGACTAACTTTTCGACTAACTTTCGACTGCCATAAAATTTCGGCGTATGTATCTTTTAACAAGTAAGTTACCAATACTTACATCACATCATTGTTAATTCGTTAATCCGATTTTCCGCTAAATTTCTGCCAATTGCTGTTTATCTTTTCGCCAATCGCCCGCTGCATAATGCAGATGGCGCGCCATGAATATGCACTTGGTTTTCTCCTTTCTTTAGAAAGTTGTTTTCTTAGAAAATGGAATTACTTTCATGAAAACTCAAATCATCAAACATGGCATTTTCGTAACAAAAAAAAATAGTAATAATGAATATTACTTTAAGGAACTTCACTTTTCCGATTGCCAAAATCTGAATCTGTCATCGCCGCCTACTGATTGTTTCTCTACTTCATTGCTTCGTTCGTTCAAGTTATCCTAATGGATAATTCCTAGAACAATTATAAGAACAAGACAAAAACTTCCACAAGTAAATCATAGACAAACATTAAACGTATAGCAGACAGAATATTAGAGGAAAAATGCAATATTTATGATCATTGGCCTTATGACAAAAATAACTTTTTATTATTACATTGATTAAAGCTACCGGAGCTAAAAGCAAAACGAGCTATTTTTGTGAAAAAAACTTTGTCGAAACCTCCAAAGGTGAGAAGTAGGCCTACTAATATATTGATAAGAAGAGGGGAGACAATAACTAAAAACGGGAGTATAACATGGCAAAACAGATTTGCATAATGCAAAATACGAAACGGTCAATGTACTCTTATTTTTTCATGGAGAAAAATAACCATGCATAAAAAGCGATCAGCATTTGGTGTTTTGTGCCGTTGCATACACGAGAGAGGACAATAAGCATAACCACAAAAACAAATGCATGGGATATTAAAGACTAGTACAAACATGAGAGATTGCTAATTTAATGCCTCGGACTAAACTGTGTGACAGGACACTAAGAAATATACAATTTTTTTGGTCGATCAGCGTAGTAAGAAAAAGAGCATACTAATGTAGTAATAATAACTTACAATGCAGGTTTTATCCTGCCGAAGTATGGTAAATGAATGGTGGTGGATGTACATGTTTCAGTTCCAGCCGATTATAGCCTTCTTATTTGTTGTTTTTACGAAGGTATTAATTGCGAAACGAGCAAAAACATTCGATTTGAACAGATCAATTAAGTTGAGACAGTTCTTCGTTTCTTTTCGTGTTACTGCACCAAAAATTATATCTTGTAGCTGCATAAAGGCTTACTTTTTATGCGTACCTTTACATGAGATGATGTTGAAAAGATAGAACTACGTGATCTAAATTTAGTAGATTCATTTTAATGCAAAATTACTATTACGGATTAATTCTAACTTTGAAATATTAAAATCTAGGCTTTTCGACGTATAAAGACTTATTTTCCAAAAGGCTTATATGAGGTGTCGACCAAAAATTAGACGAAGTCCCAAATTTTAAAAACTCGACTCGTTTGTCATATAAGGGCTTACTTTTTGTACGAACTGTTATAGGTTGCACAGTTCAAAAACTGCTTCGATCCAAATTTTTCACAAATATTTTACATATTAAAATACTAGTTTCTACCAATTATTGTAGAAAAATATTAAAAAATGCTAATTCTTCTCATATATAACCTTTTTTCAAATAGACCGTTATATGGACAATAGTTTTAAATCTTTTCCTAATCCTTTTTCAAGCCACATCCAAACAGAGGACAAACCACAATTGCTCACTCCTGCATAATGTATTCATTTCACAGTGTAATACTGAAAACTAACAAATTAGTTTCATAAGTTGTTATTAAACAGAATCTGATAACAATCGTCTTAATAAACGGTTTAAAATATCTAAACGTGCAGGGTGAGCATATCAAAACGATTTGGAAAGAGCGTTATCGTAGCCTGTAAACAAAAGTTACTCACAGAAGTTTCGTTTCATAGCAAAAAGTTTGAAAGTGATAGCTTTTTACGTTTTATGATACAACGCAGTATCTGAATAGTTTTCAAACTTTATATCAGGAAGTGCAATAATCACAAATGCTTAGACTATTATGTTCGAATATCTTCCCATTCCATTACTACTCTTCCGCAAGACACAAACCAAATATTTCCTGCAACCAGAGACAGCTAAATTTAGTTGTAAGTTTCTGGAATGTATACACGAAACTGTAAAACTTGTTAAAAATAAATTTTATAAAATTAAATCCAGGACTTTTGCAATTTTATCGGTGCTATGGAATTTGACTCATCCGTATTAGTAAAGAGAAAGTCCGTGGTTAACTGTAACAAGGGCGATAATGTTGCCACAAATACCACAAATATCAACCCAAGCCTCCCAAAATACTTAAGAAAAACAAGAACAACAACTCGTTTGAATGACTTAAGTGCACTTTGCAAAAAAATTAATTATTTGTTGCAAAGTTTATGATTTTAACTTTACGTTAATTTTATTTACTTATTTATTTTTTTTTTTTTTTGGTATGTTGAATGGAGATGGACCAAGCCAATAGATATTTATTTATTTACGCATGAAACTCAGCTAAAATAAACTAAAAGGTGAGTGCAATTGACACTTAGGAGTGCTTAATTTGCAAACGAAAACAAACGCGTATGTTCAGTTAAAGTTGAGTTCATAATTTCACAGTTTTAAAACTTATTGGTTATATTGAATTATTTGACGATTTTTATTAGACTGTTTGATTTTGGGTTTATAGGTTATGTTTGACTCTTTAGTGATGAAATTAGTTTTGTTTAGATGAGTAACATGCTGAAGTTGGTTGTGTACCCGTCAACAACAGCATAAAGACTATAACATCTCACTATAATTCGAAAATTGACTGTTGTTGTTTATTATTGTCGGTTGCCAAGCTTGTGCATGTTTGCAACGACTTAGGGGTTCACTCGCAACTTAGATTTGTATCAGTTATAGGTGTGCTTGTATGCTAGATGTGCACATGCTTTTTTTGTTGTTGTCATATTCATTTTTTTACTTTTATTTATATGCTTCGTATTAGTTTGAATAATAATGGTAAGATTGCAAGTTAGTTTAAATACGACATAGGCAAACCGCGTGTGTGAAGGATAGCTGTTTTGATAGACTTTTAAAAGCTCGATATTCCGGTTAAGTGATAGATATCAAACAGGTTTCTGCAAACAACTCAACTGAACAATTTATAATTATATTTATATTGCCTAAGCGCATTGAAAATAAGGTTCCTAGAAAAGCGATAAGGGATATTAAAGTTCATCTCACCAAGTCATGTGGGCGAATCGATAGTACCATTTATGAACTGAATCAAGAAGGAAACATCAATAATAAAGTTACGTTTCTCAAGAATGATGGAGGGCAAACAGCAAGAATTGCTTTTAAACGTATTCAATTGAATCTACATAACACCTATAGGAAAGAGATCACGCAGCAGAAGTATACTCAAATATTGGTTTAACTGAACACTTGTACAGCCTTTTTGTAATGTAACGATCAGCTCTTAATGACACCTAGCGCCGACAAACTCTCTAACAGAGAGTTTAGAAGAAAAAGAAGAAATTTAGAAGAACAACTACGCACTCAAATAAGCGAAGTAGTTCTTATAATAAGATAATACACCGGTCGAATATGAAATAAAACCGTTTAAAAATACACCTTTTCGATTCCTCTTCTTTTCTGTGAAACGTTTAATATTCCAAACATTATACTTATATACAAGTTTCGTTAATTTCTTAAATTTTCACTACAAGGAAGCCCTGACTTTGTCATAAAATTTGATGCTATGTTCGGTACGGGTAGTTCATGGATTCTTATTCATTACAAATATGACTCAATCATTATAAATTTATCTTAGTCGTTGTGATTTAGTCGTTATAAATAGGCCTCAATAGTTATTGTCGCAAAGCATATCTTCCTCGAAAAAGTATTGCTGAGATTGGCTGTATTTGTTCTTGCCGGAAAAGTGTTATTTATAACCTTGCTTACTTCTGACAAGAGAGTGCCTGAATTCGTTGTTGCTTATAAAGATTGCCGAGATTGTTGTTGTATAATGTTGCACGTATACTAATTTTTATGGTTTTTTCATTTCAGTCCTTATCACTTCCTACGCTAATGGCGATAGCTCGAATACCGTTTTTTTAAAAAGACAGGGAAATACATTTCATGACTTGCCTGCTGCTGACCATTGTTATTATAAAGTCTCCATCGGAGTGGAGGGGTAGGCAAAGGATATCGGCTAACAACTCACTGGTTGTGGATTTAAATCTCAAGTGCGGTAGAGTTTTCAATAAAATCGAAAGTTTTAGATGTTTTAAAAATTACTCTTAGAATCTGCCTTTATGACGAAGTTAATTATAATTTGTAAATGTGCTCTTTGAAAACTTTGCTAAACCAATATTAAATAACAAGAAAAAAAAAGAGAAAAATAAAACCGTAGCAAAGTCTGAAACATGTGTTTATAATTTTAACGACTATTACTTACAATTACAGCAACAAATTTTAAACTAAATACTCAAAATCGATTGTTGCTTCCAAGCCAAGGGCAATGAGATAGAAAATTAAACCCTGGCAAACATGTTCTTGCTCTGTTAGCCTAGAGCAGATTTAAAAACAACAGAAAAAAGGAATCGCCAATTAGTTACAAAATGAACTTTCTGCCAATTATTTATCAAAATCCTGTTGATTAAAATTTTTTTTATTTTTACTTTGGGGTTCCTGCTCCACTATGGTCGAAACCGTCGACGCAACGACTGTGAAATGCTTCGGAATATCAAGAAGTACTTAGGCTTCGTTGAACAATAAACGATTTGCCAACGAACGAATAGGAACTTCTATTTTTAGATGCTTTCAAACCATTAATTTCGCATTGCGACAAAGAAGCCTCTGCAAAATACATTCAATTTTTTCCCAACTTTAAAAATACATACAAAAAATCAGTAAAATTAAAAGCTTTTTACGCTATAACAGAATCGTTTGGCTTAACTCACCTGTGCAATTGTTGTTGTAAACGGATTTTCAGTAAGAACTGCGTGTCACGTCGTGTACAGTCAAAAAGCACGGCACTTTTGATTTCTCTTTTAACTGTTATCTCTCCTCTTTGTCCTCCGGTAACTTAAGGCGACGTTTGTGATCATTATGGTTATCGTGGCTTTAACGGTTTTAACAATCACAAAGCTATAAGCGGAAGGCTATGATTTCTAGAGCGGTTTTAATGTTCTCACCATTAATTTTAATATAATCTTAGTGGAAGAAACCACATCAAAACTTGTTTAAGATATTTCTTTTTTACATTTAGGACATTTTCATGTCACTACCATGCTTACCAGAATGTGTAGAATAAATCGTACAAAGGAATATACAAAAATATGTAGGCACTTGTCGATTACTACCGCAACAGAAAACATTTGCAAGAAAATTTTACTGATGCTTAAGCCCACCGGTTCGTCAACATCATTCTCTTTATTGTCTTTTTGTTTAAAAAAAGACTTTCCAATATTTTTATACCCATCACTGAAGGAGGAGTTTGTACCGCCTAGAAGAAAGCATCGGAGATCCCACAAATATTCTTGATCAGCATCAAATTATAAACCGACTTAAGCAGCTATGACTGTGTGTATTTGTAATGTCTGGTGTAAACATTTTCAAGGCCAGAAAAATTAAGCTCTCGATTTTAAATTTGGCAGAAACTTTGAAAGTTCTTGCACGTAAATTGATATTAAAAATGGCCCTAATCGATCGAAGGACACGCCCACAACACCAAGTAAATTGAGGACACCTTTTTTCACAAAGAATAAAAAATTGGTTTTTAGTCTCATTACTCATAAACTACAGCTGATAAATGTACAAAAATTTGAACAGATATGTGAGCGGTGCTCCAGTACCTGTACAAAAATGGAAAAAAATTACCACGCTTACCTAATGTTACAGTGTATCAAAATTTAATTTTGCTTTCAATACGTTTATAATGCGCAGGAGCGAGCTTCAGAAACCCAATTGAGTATATATATTCCTTGCTAGTTTCAAATTTGCAATTCACCTAAATATATTCGTCTGTTCGTCTGCTCATCTGTATGTCTGCCCAACCGTGTAGTATATGTGATAAACATTCTCCTGTTAGCGAAAACGAAGGAAATAATGGTTTCAAAAAGAGTACAAAAAAGTGAATCGTTCACAAGGTATTATTTCATACCAGGTCTTCAGCTTTTTAAAAGTATTGTTACGAAAATCCCAAGGCCAGTTTATTTTAAGCTAAGTAATTTTCCCTAATAATAAATTCCCTAAAGAAGGAAAAACCAAATGAGCATTCGCAGGCGTCTCATGCAGGCCGATGAAAACGATTAGCGGAAAAGCTGACAAGTAAAAGCTAAGTGCACATTCGCAGGCGCGTCATGCAGGTGCAGGCCGGTGAAAACGATTAGACGAAAAGCAGGCTGGGATTAGAAATAAAACCATAAATTTAGGTATAGTAACATGCTTGTAAAAATGTATATACATAGAATCTTTGTGGAAGGGAGAGTTAGTCGGGCAAGAACATAGAAGTTGAGAGTACGGTCAAAATAAATTGTGAATAATCCTACATTTAAGGAACGTAACTGTAAATAAATGATCCTACTGTAAAGGAATATAATTGTAAATCAAAGAACTTTGAAGTGTATTTCTCTTGAACAAAATATCCACGATCAAGTGATACGGACTGTATCTTAGTAAAAGCGAATTTCATAACAGTATTTTTAATAAGTATTTGTCATTGAAGACCCTCACTTATCTTACGATATACCTATCTTTATTCAAAATTGAAAAGAATTTGTTTACAATTTGTTTGTTTCTTGTCTTTGGGGTTTATGTTATAAATATTATTTTCATCTGTTGGAACCAGCAAATACAATTTAGAAATGCTCACTCTCCCAGTCTCCTAAATTTGAAACTTACTCTCTGCAATTTACAAATATTAAGGGCAGTTCTAAATTCTGCAACTTGTACATTTAAATCCTCTGCGCAATTTTTAGAAAAAAAAAAGTGTAATTGACTAAATAAATATTGAACAAGTAAAAAAATTATATTCGGTCGTGATCGAATCTTTTATATCCATCGCTGCTATCGTAACATAGGCTAAAAGAAGAATAAAGAATTAAATTTTCATAATAATACTTTTATTAGGTGTGCATGGATGATTTTTTTCATTTTTTAGAAGAAAAGTGGACATTTATATGATGTATGTGATGTATTTTATAAGTAACAAGCCAGACATACAGAAGACCAATTCGCCAATTGATGTACGCAGGTTTTTTGAAAAGTTTGTGCCATTTTCAAGTTTTTTTGCATGTTTGTAACCGATATCTTTATTTTCGCGAACGGGCGCATGTTTATCACAGATACTACACAATTACGCAGACAGACAGATGAACGGGCGGGCATGCTTAGATGCGTTCCGAATTTGAAACTGGCCAAGAATTTATGTTCTTTATAGTGTTTTTGAACAATGATCCCGTTATAAAAGTTTTGAAAAAAAATGAAATTATGACACACTGCAAAATTGAGTAGATGTGGCCGATTTCTCCCATTTTTGTAGAGGTACTACAGCATTGTCCTTAGAAGGTACGGTCAGTAGTTTATGAGTAATGAGCAAAAAGACAATTTTTTTATTATTTTGAAAACAAAGGTCCTCAGTTTACGTAGTATTGTAAGCGTATCCTTCCACTAATTTGGCTCATTTTCAATACCAACCTACGTGTAACCAATTCCAATGTTTCTGCCAAATCTGAAGTCAATAGCTTTATTTTTGCAGCCAGAAGAATGTTTACAACAGACATTACAAGGACAAACAGACAGCCATGCGGACGTACATAAATCGATTCAGAATTGGATCGTGATGGGGAATATACCTACTTAGTGGCGTCTTTGAAGCTTCCTTCTGGACGCAAAAATGAATATACTGCTTAGCTTTCGGTGATTGGTATAAAAATCAATTTAAAGCGAAGAAATTAATTTAATATTAACAAAAATAATACTGAAAGTTAATACAAATACGATATATAAAAACAATGGAAACAATAGACGAAATATTCTGGAAATAATCTTGTGTAGTGTGTTTATCTCAATTATTTATCTAAAGTAGTGATGTTTTTCTGATAGCCAATATAAAATGCACGATACAAATGCAATTCTGTACAGCTGTGCAAATAATGCCAATTATGTGCGTACAAGAAAAATAATTATGTCCATCGTAAACAAAAAACATGTGTTTGCATGTCTAAGAGAGTGGATCTAAGTTAGAAATTCTAATACATTCTTTAAAATAATTTTCTCTTTATTTGGAGTGCACTGCAGAAAGCGTAAACGCTTATAAAGCGTTCGCTATCATTGTCGGCTTGAAAATAGTTTATAGGTTAATCATTTAAGATGCTATTGCATAAAATAAGGACAGATTGTTTAGCGATAAATGGAATATTGCAAATTAAATTTTGCAGCAGCCACATAAAGGTGATTTTTCTGCATTAAAAGACACTTTTCGCTCATTGATGCACGTAAACAGCACTTCGAATTGGAATGTATAAACCCACCGTAGACTCTAAAATTGTTTCGAAATTCATTATAGTCAAAATTGGATAAAATTTGTTACCGGATAACATTTGTAGCCGGTCAAATTCGTATTACAATTTTTAAAATTATGTTTTGTTACACTTTTAACATTTTACATAAATTATTTTTTAGATTCACTTTTCAATGATGAAATCATTTAAACAAGAAACCAACCTAAGCATTTATTTATGTTAATCGCTAGAGAAAATAGTAAATCCTCCAATAATTATAAATTCCAAGTGAACGCCAGTAAGTCTAAAAAGTTTTTAATTTGTGATATTTAATCTTGGATTTTTATAAGTACTACGTTTGGTGAAATGCATACATATATATCCACCACTTGTCGTTTGATGGGTGTTGACTTACAATCACAAAATATGGTATGTAGGAAATATGCAACACGAATTACTACTATTTCAAACAACCTCCCGCTTTATCTTATTTTCAGTGTGTTCAAAATTATTAATCGTTAACTCTTTACACAGGGATGTATAAACGTCGAACAAACTGCTGTTTATTAATACTCCATCTTGTTCACACTTTAAGGAATATTGAAAGAGTAGTCTTCCAGTAATAGTACACATTGTCTGTGTTTTTCTTATTTTTTAACGAAAAGTCCTTTAAGATTTATCGATGGTTCATTTCACATCCTGCAATTCTTTATTTAAATCAGCTGTGTTACTATTATTGCCAGATTTTTTCTATCGTTTTTTCTTAGGGTTTTTTATTTTCACACGCGTTCGAGTGCGTGCAATAGTGTGTGCAGATATGGATGGTTAACGTGAACTTCATTTATTTTTATTGTAATTTTCAAAACTTCAAAAAAAATTTTTGCAAGAAATCTGAAATTTAATTAAATAAATTTCCTTATATTAAATAAAATAGAATGGAGTGAAAAATGGAAAGGCAATTATTTTAACTTATATCCGCATATCATTTTGACAAACAAAAAATTGACAAAGCAGCTTTTTTATAGTCGGTGGATGAAGGAAAAAGAATGAAAAACGAAAGAAGATTAAACAACAGTAGATAGAAACCGTGTAGCATACAAATAGAAAAAAAATTGTTTCCTCGACATTTCTGCCAGATATAGTTGGATAATTTGTGTAAAATCTTTAATAATTACTCGTTAAGCATCGCCTGCGTGTCGTCGAAACTTTGTCATGTTTTCGTTAAATTTTATATCGACAAATCGACAAAGCGTAAGAAAAAATGTTAAAAATGACATGGACTTTGTAGTCTGAAATATGACAGAAATGATGAAGTGTTGTTCTTTTCGGTATGAAGAGGAGGAGGAATTTTGATGATTCTAGCGGATGTTTTTTTTTTTATTACCTTTGAAAATATTCAATGAGTTGACTGTGTTTTTTGTTTTGTGGTTTCAAAGAAACTATAACAGCAGCAATAACAAAGACAAATTGTTGCTTCTTTCTAAGCCGAATCGAATGTGGTTACCGTTGTTAAAGGAAAACATTATTGCTACGATTACATCTTACGGAGCATTGGCAGTTGACTTAACACCAGATGCGACTTTTCACGATTGGTAAGTGAGGTAGATTTAAAATTATTTTGTTATTGTTAATCACAACGTCAGACCCGATTGTGAAAATTAGTCCGTGCCCTTTGTAATTTTCAGATTGGTCGTGAAATATAAGAAATTGACAGGCTGACATCCTTGACAAGTGGCCCACTTCGATAATTCGGGATGGCTCGTTTATAAACATGCTTATGATAAGGAAGAAAGCAAAAAAAAAAACTCAAAATATTTGAAATTTGCAACATATTAGTTTTCTTTGTGAACATGGTTTAAAAAGTCTGCGATAAATGGCTAACTAGGCAGTTAGATTCTTTGAAATTATATTTCAAAAATTTACCAAGCCGAGTATAAGTTTTTGAAATTATACAGCGAAAAGTAGACCTTTTGTTAAAAGAAATTGAATTTGTTTAAACTGTCATACTAAAATGGTTCGTTGAAGGCAAGGTATATTTTGTAATGCTTTGCGTAAAATTGAAATCCTATTGCCCGTGTCTAATGATTTAAACAATTTTTTGGAAAAATACTGGAAATTTGTCAAAGATCTCCAAGTTACCAAAAATATAAACGCGCGACACCGCCACAATAATTTTTTATAAATACTTGATGAAGGTTTCCTCACAGATTTTGGGATGAAGGATTTCAATGAATCCTTTCTTTATCAATGATGGTGTTGTAATTATCTGTAACATTGAGAACAATCCTATCTCGTGGGAACATTTGATTGCTAAACTTTTATGAATCGTTTTAAATGAATCCATTCGTTCGTAAATCTCTTCACAAAGCCATTTGAAATGAAGTTAATAGCTGATCTTAAAACATATCAATTTAACCGATTAGAAAATCATTCTTAAGCACATTATCAATGGGAACGTGTGTAAAACTGAATTCTGGACGAGTTTTTGTTACCTATTAGCTTACATGTTTAGAAAGTAGAGTGTTAATATGGAACATAGCAATTAACTGACTAAGATTACTTTTGCGCTGAACTTTCAAGAGTCTCTAGTGTACATTGGTATTAGTTAACGTTAGTGGTCTAAAAGATTTCCTGAATCACGTGAATCTTTGCTGGGAAGCTCCAGCCTAATGTTATAACTGTTGATTTTTAACTTCTCTAGTATACAACTACTACTTCTGTTCATTTAAAAGCGCTTTTAAACAAAAATACCTTAGTACGGCTTCATCGAGATGAGGGTTATGCAGGTTTGAAAACGACAGTTGGGAAAGCCCCTGCCAAGAAATTACAAGTTCACGACAAAGCCTCTATAGAATTCTTTCCGTTGTCTATACTATTTGGTTGCTACATGTAATGGGTAAAACATCTGATTATTTCCTTGAGAAATGCACAAAGAATGTCAACTTCTAGCAAAAAATCCTCGAGGGAAAGGAATGGGAAATAATGTTCCAACATAAGAAGCCAGTTTTATGGTCCCGGGGTTGCAAATTGATGGTAAAAATGCGTCAAAAATTTATGATAATAAGAAACGGGTTTGTAACACATTTCAAAACCTCAAACGCGTTCGTCTACAACAATTTGTACAAATTTCATTTATTTATCGCCGGGTTTTATTTATATAAATAGTGCCTTTTGTAAAAACGGTTGCAAATCGTCAATAATATATTTAAAAAACATATTGAATGAAACCGTCGAAGGTTAATGATTAGCTGCCAGCATTACGATTCAAGATTCCAGACCATGAACCGGTAACTATGAGGTGAAACTTATCGCATTAATTTATAATAATAGCATGCGAAAGGATCTAACGGCTCAATTAAACTTGAAACTCGAGCGTTCGTTGATACAGCGGGAAAATAGATTATATACTAGTGTCTTATTTTTATTAGTAAGTTCTAGTTGTAGCAGTCCAAATGGCTACAGACGGTGTTATTTGAAAGAGCTGATTACAAATGTCATAATCTGTTACACAGCCGATGAAAAGGTTGGATTGTAAATAAAGCTTGGTGAATGACTTTTTTGACGAACCATTCTGAACATTTTTCACACATGTATAAGGCAATAGCAATATGTATTCAATAGTGTACATGCAATTTAAATAAAATTATGTATGCTCTGTACTAGCACTGTGTTAGCTTTTTTAACAAATCCTATCAATACTATTACGGATACCGTGATTAAACGGTTGGTTACTAAAATTTTGGTTTACTATGTATTTTAAAATTATTTAAAGTAAGTAAGGAATTTATATTCGGGTGTGACCAATTCTTTCATGTCTACCATCTCTTTCTTTAAAGAAGGACGAAAAAAGAGAAAAAAAAATGAATTTGCTATTCGATACAATACTGGATGGCCGCGTCGAGTTTTTTCATTCTTGTACAGATATCACAGAATCAGCCAAAAAAATATACGTAAACGTTTTTATTGCTATATCCAATTTTTTTGCTTTCGAAAGCAGAGTTCCAGTTTTAATTTTTTATTTTTTCTGCTTTATTGTTCATTTTAAATTAAGGGGTAAATGAAATGAATTTTTGATTATGAATTGAAATGTCGTATTGAAAAAGACTTTATAAAAATAAAGGACAAATAATAATGATCGCTTATAGGATCTCGGAAGTGTTGCGGATGTTTTGCAAAAGAATAAAATTTTGTTGTTCTATAATGTTATGTGGGCGCTGCAGATTTTTTTCCATTTTTGTGTATGCACTAGAAGCTCATTGATAGAACATACATACAAACCTTTATCGCCTTATCTGCTTTAGTATAAAAGTAGTAGTCCGAAAACTCGCTTTTTTTTTGTTTTGAAATCGGACATGCTCTCAGTATACATTGTACTGTAGACATGCCTTTTAGCTGATTTGCACCATTTTCAATTGCAGCCTGCGTCTGAGAACTTCCAAAGTGCTTGCTAAATTTGAAACTGATATCTTTATTTTTACGAGTAGGAGAATGTTTAGTACAGACATTATATAAACAGGCAGATTGATATGTTTATTTTGATTCAGGACTTGATATTAATCAATAATATATACACTTTGTAGGATGTCTAGAGCGTCTGCTTTTCAGAAAATCAAATACATAAGAAAGGCAACTAATTTTTATTTTAATTTATTTATTTTTATTTTACTTTTCCAGAATATGTAATCAAATTGAAGAAAGAGGATTTAAAAGTAGACGAGATAAAAATAAAATTTGAAAATATATGTATCGTCCGAACTACTGAAACAATGATAAAGACGGAAAACAATGAAAAAGCTTATAAAAAAGCGTTACTTTAATATTTGTGATCTCGGGTTAAATTGAATTAATCGCACTTGTGGAAATCGTAATCCACTCGTAAACAAGCAAAACAAAAATAATAATAATAATACTAAACGCAATACTCACGCAAAAAACCATATCATAAACTCCAACTAACAGTTTCTATAGCACAGTTGGCTTTTTGGGATATTTGATTTAAACGGTAAACAGCAATAAATTTTTCAACCATACTTAGCAGAAAGCAAAGACCCCGAAGGAAAGGAAATAATACCTGTTGTATACATAAAAAATTCGAACAAAATGCAATAGGTAACCGGTGAAGCCAAGATGCAAGATTATACGAATGATTTCGTATATTGTTGGTAAAAAATTTTAGAAGCAACGTCACGAAAAGAAAAAAATTTCTAATAAAATCGAAAAAACAAAAAAAAAGCAGCAACAATGTTTTGGTCAGCAACAGACAGGCAAAAGTAGCAGTTTTACAAATTGAAATTCAGGAAACAACGAACAAAATAAACGAAACCATCACCAACATAATCGATATCCCCATTAACATCATCAACAACAACGGCAGCAATAATCACCTACAATAGACTGAAGTAACGTTTTGTGGTACATAGCTGCACGCTTAATTGGCTCACAACTAGGGAAAAGCGTAATGTTGTTTTTCTAATACCTACAAGCTGTGTTAAGACTTATCGAACAATAGCAGTATTAAATACTGGCTCGCTAGGAACAGTAACAGCAGCGTCCTTAGTAGCAGCTATAAGATTGACATTAGCGGCAAAGTTAAAATTACAATAGAAAGTTGCTTATTTTTGCTGCCAATTGATTAGTTAACAATAACGTTTTATCATCGCTAATGGTTTTGTATAAAGTTTAATGTGGCTCCCGATGCTACAAAAGCTAAATTTGGCTGAGTTAACACTTGGTATGTGATAATATTTCTTAAAGAAGTACAAATAAGCGGAGAGTAAAACAGAAAACAGTCATTAAGGAATAAGAAAATTATAAAAACATAAAAAGCATCACAAAAATAACATGGCTAATACACTGGATGAAGATCGTAAACGTAGGTAAGTGCAGAAAGGGAATTTTATTTAAATAAAAATGAAATATATTTAACACTTTGCTACTTTCACAAATACTAAGTAATTAAAATAACTAAGAATGCTATAGTCGGGCAAGGCCGACCATTAGATACCCTACACCATTTCGCTTAGTTAATGATACACCGAATACGTAAATGCACAATTTTCATGAAAGCCCTCATATAGGAGAATACTCAATCGTCAACGTGGCCTAAATTTAGCAAACTTAATTTACTTATCAAAGATTTTATTATTTTCCAGTTGCTTTCGTCGTAACCAACCACAAATTAGGCATTGTCACCATAGAGGTGTTTGCTTTCATGAGAGCCCATATATAGGGTGTGGTCTAAAAAATAGATCTATGTGATCCACGTCCCCTACGGTTGATTTACTACATGGGCCAAATTCGGTAAGGTTAATTTTTATGCCAAATTATTACTATGAACGAATTTTCATCAACAAGTATTGAGAATTAGGCCGTTTCATCACATAAAGATTCCCTGTACTACACACCAAGGCCATATTTTCAGAAAAAGGGGGAAGTAACTAGTTCTTCTGCCTATTGGGGGGACCCATAGACTGTTTCAGGTTATTTTAGAATCTTATCATGCAAGGGAAAAAAAATTAAAAAAAAAATTAATTCTTAAACACAGACTTATGTCTGTTGGCTACATCAGCTTGTTAAGCTAAGTTCCATGTTTGCTCCCAAATTAGGGTTATCCACAGTTAGTGAATTGCTTGATGAGGAAAGCTGATTAATATGCAAGCAATACAAAACATATGTAAAATTAAAAGAAGCAAAACTTTTGATGACCTCGTAAAATTTCTGTAGTTACCCTGGTTCGGGTCTTGAGACAATCAGAACACGAGTTGGGCTGGAGTTCAACATTTCAATGATTGAAGTTCGTAAATGACTTTTTACGCAAAGTTTTGTTTGCACAATTTTCTGCATACAATGCCCATATTAAAGTGCAATTAAAGTTAACGCGAGTACTTTCTAGAAATGTGAGTAAAATTCCCTATCCTCATCTTCGCAAGACATTATACATGCATTCATAACATATAACGACCATTCAGCGTCAAGTATAGAATACGCGTCATTTTCGCCAAGCGTAAGCGTTATTGAGAATAATCAGGCGTCAGTCGCGCTTGGTTTCTCTTTTTGTTTCTTATAATATTAAATATAATAAATGTTTGAGTACCTGTCAGAATTAACATTTTTACGATCCTCTAAACCAGTTGCTGTCAGTTTTTTTAAAAAGTCACTTTGTTTTGAAATGATTTGCCAATGTCCGACGTTTACTATCTTACAATGTAACGCATTTTATTTTTGAGGCCGTGTGCATAAATCGAAGATTCGTGGCTTGTAAATTATGATCAAAAAATGGTTCGGCATACACTGTTTCGATTTGTTGAGCATTTTTATTGAACGCAACTTTTCCTAGTTAAAGAAATTTGCAACATTGAATATATAATAATCAGAGCAATTTTTAAAAATAATAATTTATACGATGACAGTGGTGACTGCTACGCTTTGAAGCCTCATTGGCCACAATGTCCGACCCTTTACAAATTTTTTTTTCTGCTCGAACCTGCATATAGGCTATCCGTAGTTACCTTACGTTAAAACAAGTTGATCGATGCAATGAAACCATATTAAACATTGCAGAAACCATCGGCATGTTTGATCCGAAAATGTACTCGATTGGTTTATTAATACGTCCGCAATTAATATTTAATAATTTGACGTTGATTATATATTTTGTTCTTGAGTGATATTTTTTTATTATTATATTTTTCATTTTTTAATATCAATCGAATTAATTCTTGGAAAACTTCATTAATATGAGTAGAATTTTCAGCAGCTGTGTTTCGAATTGGATTATATTTTAAATTATTTCCGGAGAAATTTGATTACTTCCCTACAATAACCTAAACATTGTGGTTTCTTAGTAATAACTAGTTAAAGTGTTTTTAATATCGTTGAACACATGTTGTTTTTATCGCCTATCAGAAGAAGGAAGCATTACGGTGAAATAAATTATGAAGGGAGTCGATTTATTATAGCATAAGGGTAATCCATCCAACAACTTTTTATATAATACCAACCATGATAAATCGAGTTTAAAAAGCCCTCGCACGGCCTAAAATATATGTGAAGAATAAAACAAAGTGTATATAAGAATATATTTGAGTGGTGTTCGGATATAAGTTCAAATGATTATGATACAGCCAAGACTATTAATCAAGTCATGAAAGAAATCGGAGTGAAGATGGGACTGATCAAAATATATTTATTCTTATAGTAAACTCGAAGAAGCAGACCAGCAAATAAAGCTTGCTGTTGATGAAACTGAGTGGGAAAACTTCGAAAATAAGTGTGACTTTATAGTAACGAAGCACCGTTGAACAAATTGTGCAATTAAGCAAGACTTGATAATCTGACTTTCCACTCTATAACTATCTTCATAAGCCAAATAACATCATCAGTACATAGGTAATTAAGTTTGAAGACTAACAAAGAAAAGATATTGTTTCAGCATAATTTATTTATTTATTCATCAACATGATCCAAATTTCGAACTTTAATTTATGGTATAGCGTCATTTTAGCCGTCAACTTGCTAGACGGGCATTGGCTTGGTGAAAGAGGATTTTTTCTTGCTCGCTGCTGCAACAGAATCAAAAGTGTCATATAATTTCGCACTTCATCGGTATGCGTTTCTCAAGCCAGTCGATGAATAGAATGCCATGCACACTCGAAAACCTGGGCACCGCAAGCTAGCCGGCTGCACGCTGCGTTTGTGCTTGCTTCACACAGCTGTAATTAGTTTATTTCAAGGAACTTTCGATTAGATTTAGTTTATTGCCCACACATGAAACAAATCTTTTTATTAGGGTTAAACAGTTTCAAGCAATGCTCTGAATGAGTGAAACGTTCACGTTTTTGTACTGTGACTAAAGTCAATATTCATTTGAAAAACAGTTTTATCACACACAAATTTTTAAGTAAAATAGAAAACATACTCCCTTTGTCTTTTAAGAGCTAAACTATTTCTAGCAACCTTGCATTTAAATTATCGAAAATAAATTTGACGGTTTTTTAATGGTTTCTGGTGGAGGCATGTCTCTTGGGCGGCCAATGAATTCAATATCCATACGACTTCATTTCAAATTGGCATATCATGGACAAATTGCTGCCTTCGATGAATCACTGGCACGTTTCAAGACATTACCCAGTTTGAATGATATTTTTCTCATCGAAGAGCAATGTTTTAATAGCACATGAAATTCGCATTTTTCCATTGTTTTGAAAATAATAAAAGTAGCGTTAACGAAACCATTGTAGGCCGTAAACAAATGATCCAAATGACATGAAATTGTGACTTGGGAGGTGGTACTATCCAAAAATTAAATTAATTTTGATGATTTTTTTGTCATATTTCTAGCGATATATAAGTCCAGGAATTCATTAATCGATGTGCTGATATTGCAGTTTTTAAGAGCAAACGTCGCAAAAAGCAATAATACTTAGTTTCAAACATAACTCCATTAATGTTACGAAGAGAAACAAATTTTAAGCAATGACGCAGAATAAAGTCTATAGGCAATTGATCAAATGGCTCTCTAGCACAATGTGAAATTAGGGTCATATTGTTGTCTTTTGCAAGTCTTTTTGCATTTGGCGGCATTCGTCGCGTGCATTTTATATTAGGAAACGTGTAACAAAACATGAGCAGAAAACAAGGCCACAATATTAGAAAAAACGAAAACGCTTCCTAAGAACAACAATTTAAAATGATGATTTAAATGATTTCCCTCGAAAAGTTCCCAAAAAACAATAAATTCTATGGTGCAAACGTAGGGAAACCTTTTTATACTTACAATTTATGAATTTCTAAAAATGTGTTTCGTAGTTATTGTTACAAAAAAATATAATTTTTCTTCTTTTTATAAATTTTTCAATTTTTCAATTGCTATTATATAATAGATTCTTTAAATCTTTTGAAGTATGGGGAAAAGTTCATTACTTGTAAAAAATGTATTTTGACATTTCTGACTTTTTCTAGCGGTTCGAATAAAATACTGTGACAAATGCGTCTGTGCTGCGAAGTCAGAACATAGTATCTTACAAATGTTTTTAGAAAGTGTCTATGTTCATTTAAAGGTATTTTCAAACAAAAATTACTAAGTGTGGTTTAATCGAGACGATCCTTGAGTGGATAGAAGAATAAGAGCGAGTCGCAACGTGTCTGTACTTCTGCCAAGGAATTAAAGGTTTGTAATAAATTCTTTGATGTTAACTATAAATTCCGCTATAAAATTTTAACTGTTCTTCCCGTTTTCGCGACGTAGAAAGTATAAACCTATTGTTCTTTCGCTAACAAATGAAACGAATATGGTACCTTTTAGTTTCGAGGAAGGCGAAGAAGAAAGAATATTTGAACGCAGGAAGCCTGTTCCATAGTCCTAGAATTGAACAGTAATGGGAAACATTTATAAATAGTTGATAATAATAAAAAAGCATATTGTAAAACTTCAAATGCACTTTTCTCGAAACAGGGTTTGTCAAAACGTCTCATACAGCAACTACAATATTTATTCCTAAATTGTCTTCTATTTTGGGGGGAAAGCAGAGCTCTTTCATGCAAGTACTTGCCGTGAAAAATCAAGCAGTCATGCAAAAATCAAAATAATTAAAAATCTCTACCTATTGCACTAGTTATACACTATGTAGATCAAATTCGGTTTTTGCTCAAATTTGCACGAGCTCCTCTGTGGGTTCGACTGTCCCTCAAATGAAAAATGCCTCACGGGAATAACTATGATATTGTCATTTTTAATGCGTTCCCCAAATATTATTATTATTATTTTTATTATAAATTTAGCCAGAGAATAAATTCAAAGACTAAAGTCTTAAAGCATTAGCATCTTAGGCTTTCGACACTATTAAAAACTCTACCGGACTTGAGATTAGAACCCACTCCAAAAATAACTTTTCTTTTAGTATTTAAATACATTTCAATTAATCTGTCAAGCAAATTAAATTAAATTTAGGCAATATAATTAACATTAAAAAATACAGAAAGTGATACCATCGCAAGCCAGCCATTCAGTAAATGCAAAACGAGGTGTGCGAGCAAAGTCAATTACTTGAGATAAATTTTGCATCGAAATGATCGCAACAGTTCCTCGAAAATATGTCTACAGGATCATAGCTTAAAAACGAATATAAGAAAGATTTAATTAATGATAAGAATTTTTCAAGATTGGTTTACTCTCTTTCTATTGTAAGTGTGTCTGTCGGCAAATTGCACTCATTTTTTTATCCCTCTCCTTAATCGATAGACAAATTTGCAGACTTTTTCTCAATTTTTTTATATAATTCCCTAAAAAAAGTGGGCCGATTTGACTCGCCCTGGTAGAAATATACACATTCATAAACTGTCCTTCTAGCCTTAGTATATCACACTCTTACGAAATGATTGTACATGTTTATGTGCATCGCTGCAGTAATACATGTCTGTTGAGATAAAAAAGTTGTTAATTTTATAGGATGAAAACATTTTTTGCTTACTATTACAGTACGGAGCGTTCAATGAACGTGAAACGATCATTGAACCTGAAAGAGAGTCGGTAAATTTCTGATTTAATTTTTTAACCAGTTCAACTATTTGTTCTGCGTTCGTTCGATGGTAACTCAAATGGTACTTGACATTTTTTTTTTTAAATTATCAAACTAGCCTAGTGTTTTGGTTTTTGAAAAAGAGAAAAATCGAATTGATCAACTTTTGGGCAATTTGAAAATTAAAAACGTAAAACGAAAGTTCAGTTTTTAAGAAAAAAAAACGAGAGCCGTAACAATTCAGGGAATTCAACTGCATATAAATAAAGACGAAGAAAGCGCTAATTGTTTTGTTTACAGTTCCAAAATTCTTTCGAAAATATTAAGTCCAGTGGTCGTTTGCATTTAATCAAAGCACTTTTAGTCAGTTAAAAAAAAAGGGGAAAAGCTTGGAAGGATTCATTAACTATGTATATATAAAAAATTGTGGTCGGCACTCTTCTAAAATGAAGGAAGGAAAGGAAGATTTAAGAAAATTTACGGAAAAGTATAAAAGAGTTCGCGTCATTGCTAGAAATATATTTTTACATATTACTGAAAGACTGCAAATTGACGAATTTTGAGCATCCTTGCTATCATTTGCCTACAAAAAGTATAAAAGGAAATTAAAAAATGCGTGCATATGTGAATACACGTTTGGACAGTTTCAGCAATCAAACGAAATTGCAAATGAATCTCATCGATCCTATCTATTAACACGGTACGAAACTGATATTTATCAATTGGTGGTTCGAGATATAATTGAAACAGATTATATCTCGCAGTTTAAGAAAGATAAGGATAGTTAGAACGGCTTGAACCTCCCCAGTTACCGATGAGCTAGGCGGTGCGAGCGATGAAAGGGTGTGTTCTAATCATTAAAGTCCAAAATGCTACACTCATTTGTAGGAACTTGCATCCGCTAAGCTGGCGCATATGTTTTTTGATAAAGGTCGCAGATCAGCTTTGGGAATATGTTTAATTTCCATAAATTAATAGCATGACGTCGTTCGCAAATTTGTTATAAATATATCCGTGAGCCTTTTTTAAGATAATTGGGAAACTTTTCGGTTAACTGACACGGACACGACTAAAAAAATACTTTCTTCTATATATAAACATATATATGCCTATTCGATATGTTCTTTGGCATAGATATAATAATCGATTACTAAATTTTCAAAAATTTTCGACAATTACTAATTGATAGTCGTAAACAGTAGATACTTTTTTAATGACTGTATTAATATGTACTGCTTCTGCGTGCAAAGAAATTATAACATTTTTTTGCTCATTTCTGCTTCTTTTGTTTTTTTCGCGCATGTACATTATATAACTAAATTGACGTCTATTCCTAAATGAAAATAAGAAATTTTTATAAAAATTAAATAAAAAATACAAATATTATATTTCTTCATGATGCAATTTTTAAACGTTGAACTGGTAGGTAAAAACTTTTCAGTTTCATATTGAATAGGTGTATATATGTTTATATATAGAAAATAGGTTTAGCTATATAATTTTGTTCCAACCTGCATGTCAAAATAATGAGTATGACTTTTCTACGTTATCTATAACGCTCTCATCATTTATCGCTTGGACGTGCTTGCGCAAATATCCATGTTAAATTTTTATGTTTGCTCTCCGTACCTGCTGCCTTAAGTGTGATTGCGTTACCCTTTAGGTATATTATTTTATAGTAGCAACTCATATATATAGCTTATTTTTTTCTTCTTGCCTTATACATTTTTCATGTTACGTGATGTTGTCCTTATACGGCATGTACGCTACACAGCGGATTATATTTGTAGGGCCGTTATTTATCATTGAATTGGTATATAATCCGTGCTGAATTTTGCGCTTGCAAACATACCAAGCATAGGATGGATGTATTGCCAAAAAAGTAAAATTTTTACTGATAGATATATTTCGAATGTGGAAGGGGAAAACGTCGACTTCATTTTTTATTTTCGAAAAGAAAAAGAATCGCCGTAAGCCAACGAAAAGACATGCACATGAAAACAATATCGCGAAAGTGGTATATGCAATTTCACTGTTGAGGTTTTTCTTCCATTCTGATCGATCAGTCACTCTTTGGAGTAAGCGGTTGCGCTGCTTAGGTTTTATGTTATTTTTAAATTAGAAAAGTATTTTCTGATCAAATATCAAATTAAATTAAATAAAATTCCTTTTGAAATGTTGAATGGTACTCTGTCACTTGGAGAAATTGCATCTTTGGTAAGGTGAATTTTGAAGTGCTGGCACAGGCGTGAAGATGGATCGTTATTCATCATTAAGGGGCAATTGTTGAACAAACATTTGGTGTTGTTATGGAAAACTCACAATTAAGTTTTAAGTCAAAATGTTGAAAAATAATTTACATACAGAAAGTTAAAAATCACTTCCGGAATAATATCCAGCAAACAAAATATGATAGATTTAACTAAAGCATTGAAATGTCGGTTTCGGTACGGGCTTATGGCGATGCTTATTAAGATCGTTAGGCCATAAAGCTTGCCACAAGGCGAATATAGCTTTTCTTAATTTCTTGATTTAATTAATTGTAATATCGAAACTTATTTATGAAAACAAATAGCAATAAGTAGGTGGTGATGACAAAACTACTATTAATGGAAAATGTATTGTCTTTAGAATCCTGAGTCGTTGGTCCGATTTTTCTTCTTTTCGCTGCTTAAGAAAGGATAGAGGGTATACTCAAATCGTCGTAATGTTTGCAACATCCAAAAGAAAGTTTCAAAGACTCTACAAAGTTTATATTAAAACTAGACGCAATGTTTAAATTTTATTTACTACAATTGTTGCACAAATATCATAAGAATTTTGTTAATTAGCTTGAATAGTTTTCATAAGCTCACTTCACTTGTGCTTTACATTTCAATTTTCTAAAACGATAATAGCTTTTGGATTGTTTTGGATTTAGTTGACTTTTTTTTTAAAAAACATTCCTTTCTTCACTCGAATAAAAAATGATTTATTTAATAATTCGCACCAAAAACATCAAATACAAACATCATTTTCTAACGTCATCAGCATCAACAAAAGCAATGACAACAGCGCTGGATGTATAATTGATTGTTTGGTGTTGGAATTTCAATTAAAACCAAAAAATGAATGAATTTTATCGAAAATAAATCTTGATCTCATATGTTAAAAGGTTGAGTAAGAGGAAAGAAGAGAGAAATAGAAAGACAGAGCATTAAGGCACTCTCATATACGGTAGGCCAACAATGTCCACATACAGTACGAAAAATCTAGGGTCCTCTTATTAAAGAGTGCATTTGTGGGTTGAGGGTGAAAAAATATACCTCAAAAACCAATCACTAGAAGGAAGGAAGAGAAGGGAAGAAAATGTCTTTAGTTAACGGTACTTAGTTTTTCTAATTTATTCATCAAAGTGAATTTCTTTATTTCTTTTACTTAAAATGTCACAAAATATACAAAAACGTAAAGAAATTCTCAAGAGGTTAGAAAATTGATTATAAAGTTAAGAAGTGAGGAAAAATCGTACGGCGAAGTAGCAAAAACAGTTGGAATTAGTCATGCTATTGTTCCAACTATTACATAAATTACAATAACGCAAATGCTATAGAAAATAAACACCGATCAGGCCAACCAAACAAACTGACAAAGCGTCAGATATGAAATATTATCA